GCGCCAGGATCAGTACAACGGTCCGATAAATTGGTACCCGGTCTAAAATGTTAGTAGGGTGCTAAATAGTGGGAGAATGGCGAAAAAACGAAGCGAAACGGTTCGGACGAGTTCCCCCTAGGCATCTTGCCAATAACGCTACGGTAGGTACGGCTGCACGTATGTACTCATATATCCATGCAGCACCGCGGCCGCTTCATATCAATCCCTTCGCTTCATATTTACTTCGCAAATGAAGCAATACGAGCATCAGGTACGGTCGTCCATTTGTGGGCGGGCGGGCGCGGTGGGCGTTCGGGTCGGTATGTTGCAGCTTGATAGGGCCTTATAAGGGTACCTTCCTTGGAAAAAACGCTACGCAGCGCTTGCTCAGGAGTGCGGGATTCCGTCCTTAAAGACGTGTGAAGCCTACCCGTAGAGGTTTATCGTGCCAACTGGTTTAATTGCCCATGGGTAATGGAGTTCAATCCCAACTTTTCAGTGCTGGTTAAAGATTACATGACTTTTCAATGCGCTTGAGATAGTCTCGAATGGTATTTAGGCAGGGGTATGCTCGACGTTTTTCCCAAAAGTTCCAGTTTCTTCAAATTCCTCGTGCTCGATGTGGAAGGGCAAATTGAACATAATCGACACTCCCTACTTTATGACTTGATTGAAAGGCTAAACCCGGAAAGGCCCCTCTGTTAAGTACATATATGGCCAACAAGCCATATCTCTTACATTTAGGTAGGCTCACAGTTGGCTCAGATGGTCCCAAGGTCAATTTTGACAACCAGGAGCTCACTGGATCAGCTTCCTCTCGGAAAACCATGTCATCAAACGGGAATTTGACAGAGGTCATGAAAGGCTCCCACATTCTCACTGAGCTACACCTTCACTTATCAGAGGTTCAAAAAGGTGCATGGGTTCTGCAGACAGTCGCCTCTCAAGTCTCGCCCAGAACCGAGCCCACCTTCTTGCAGGGTAGGAAAGTTATCTATCAAAAAGCTCAGAACACATAGGTGGTACTTTTTGAAGTTAACCCAAAATGTTATGTAGAAAAAATGCCATCACTCATGGGCCAAACCAATAGAAGTTTGCTTATCGAAGGTGGCGTTTGCCCATTTGCATCGCTAGGACTTCAGGCTCAGGACTGTGCAAAGGGTAATCGTCTATGCCCAATCATTGGTCACTGACTACGTTACTGATGAGAAAATCACTGATGTCAGCTCTGAGTTAGATCTTCAGAAGCACACTCCACGCTCGTCGAATAGGCGGAGCGCGATCTATTACTGTCTTCCTTGTTAAAACGCATGTACTTTGCAGGGCCATTCGGTCGTCCAGCGTGCAAACAACTCCCATCGTTGGTTCACTAAACAGGACGAACACCTACATAGGACCTACAAATACGTAGAGGTCCAAAGCAAGGCCGACTGAAAAGCGATTGGCCAATCCTGAACTGTGAATCCTTTCTTTAGTTATGTTACTCATCCTTTTACAGTGAAACGCTCTCCATGCTGATCAGAAAATCCAGTCTCACGCTGGATTAGATAGGACATCCACAAGCTAATCGCCGGTTTCAATTCTCAATCCTAAAATACAGTTTCTTTTCGCGTGACGCTGAAGCGTTCAAGGAGTAGGCGGATCGTGCGCTGGGTTTGGCGCGAACGCCAGAGAGTTTCCCACCAATTGTGCGTACTGCCAGCTTTCACAGTCGGTTGCGAGAACGAGTTGCACCGAACCCCAACCTACCCCGCTCCCCACTGCTGAGCACTCCTGCCCGTCCGCAGAAAGCAGACTGTAATATTTCCGTTTCTGTCCAACTGATTGAAATAAAGATTTCAATGAGCGTCTCTAGAATTGAACTTAGTGTCACTCTCTGAGCATATGCGACGGCCAGTAGTCCTACTAGAAGCCGCTAACGGATTTAGTAAACAGTGGCGATCCGCAAAAACTCACCAAAGAACGTAAGCATACTTGCGGTAAGCGTGTTTTAATTGTACGATTCGGTAGAATATGAGCGATGCGGACTATTAGGCGAAAATCTGATTAACCTCGCAAAACCTGAACAAAGTAAGTTTAGGTGAGTAAAGACCTGGATTTACTCCTTCACCCACCTTAGTGATCTCATCATCCATACCAGACCTTGATCCTTCTTTGGTACAAATCTTGCAAAATCTGGATAGCAGAGCACGTACTTCTCCATGTAGAAATTATATCTGAATGCACTACCAAGATGCACTGAGAGCCATTTCTCCGAGCACTGTTTGTTTGGGGCGGTTCTGAGCGCACGTCCGTTGAGCTTCTTCCCAGATGCTTCCCACACAGTAATCCCATCGGTACATATCGGCCGCGTTGTGCCCCGGTAGAGCAGAGTGCCTGCAACTACAGCCTACTACCCTCTGCATTTTCTCCCCTTGGTACCGATCTCTCTTCGAAGCCCAACAATCGCAACAATGTATCAGTTATGTCCAAAATTATTTGTAGATGAGGGATTAGATGGGCGTGAGAAAGTCGGTCGAGAAAGCAACAATCTGGAACAATCTTCCTATGAGATTCGCGCCGTGATTTTCAAATAACGAGTGGGCTCGATCCGACATCTTCACCAGTAATCACAGTTCGCGTTCTGCCCTTATTAATTACAGTATTAGCAACTGGTACTGTTAAGGTCAGTCATCCCTGGGCGCTCAATGAGCAATTTGTGGACTTGCGCCCGTACCTCGAAGGCCTAATATGAGGCAAAATAAGCCCTTCATTGTCAGCATAGTCACGAAAATCTGCGAAGTTGCTCCTCCTCGATGGTAGGCGGGGGGAGGGGGAAAACTGGCACTACTGCTTATTCGACGATGGAAACTCTGCGTTATGAGGCACATTCTGCTCCCATTCAGTATGGGACACGATAGGCTCTTCCATGTGCTCATCACCAGAAGTTGTCGATTCGAGAAGTGCCATCACCCTTCGAGCTTAGAACACAGCACCTTTTTTTGCGCTAGCTGGCACATTAGGTTAATATAGTCAAAGGGGCTGATACCACTCCCATTAAATAAGCGGTCCCTTTGGGAGTGAAGTTTTTTTTGAGATAGCGAAGGCACTGTGTTAGCAACTTTCTCAGGCGCGCGACGAGGCAGATACATAGGGCGCGCTGGGCGCGGAGACCACTGTTCTTTTGTCCTCTGCTATGCATTAAACGTCTTCCTTCACAACACAGTCCTAAGTTACAAACCCCTGACCCCCTTCCCAAGCACCTCTGAGTTGTGAATGACTTTACTTTAACCTAACTTTACGTTTACTGACCTGTCCACCTTTACTGCAAGGCAGTTGGCACGATAATTTGGTACTCTGCCTAAAATGCTAGCAGGGTCGCCATATAGTGAGGAAAATGGCGAAAAACGAAGTGAAACGGTCAAAAACCTGCGAAAGAAAGCCTTTGTTCTGCACGACTCAAAAAGCAATTTCGGACGAGCTTCCCGTTGACAGGGTGCCAATCACCATTACGGCATGTATGCACTCAAATATCGATGCAGCCCACTTCATACCAATCCCTTCGCTTCATATTTACTTCGCAAATGAAGCAATACGAGCATCAGGAACGGTCGTCCATTTGTGGGCGGGCGGGCGCGGTGGGCGTTCGGGTCGGTATGTTGTAGCTTGATAGGGCCTTATAAGGGTACCTTCCTTGGAAAAGGCGCTACGCAGCGCCTGCTCAGGGTCGCGGAATTCCTGCCAGGCGTATTAATCCTACTCGTCTTAGGGTCTTATCGTGCCAACTGCCTTCAAATAAGCACCGAGACGGTTAGGCTTTATTAACAAAAAGATCTCAATCCAAGAGAAAATCTGCGCAAATTCCTTCCGCTGGCATAAAAACTCAATCAACCAACCCTTGGAAGATCTGGCCGGATCAGGACAACCTCATCCATCTCGTTAGTGCATAACTCGTAGATCCGGCTACTCTCGTTGAAAGGCGGTAACCAGTCATTGAATCCGTACGCGAATACGGTAGTACTGAAACCGGCTAGCCATATCAGACTGCCCATCTATTAGGGTGCGGACGAGAGCCTGAAAGCGTTTTTTTACATTTAATTTGGACATCAAAAAAGCGGCATTTAAGCAATTTCTATTAGTGCTGATTGAGCAGTAGTAAAGTTCTACTTAATGAGTAATTGATGAAGCAGAAGTAAACGGAAGAATGGAAACTGCTAAGGTAGAACCCTTCCATTGCGAGATTTTTCAGGCTAGATCGTATACTCGGAAGTGGAAAAGCTTTCAAAACCTGAAACATTCACGAGGGCAACACTTTGTTGAAGGATTACGAGGTGTTAACGACTCCTTTGACATCACAAGAATGCTGAGTTGTGGGCAAAAGTCGTGCCCCAGGCGGGAGTCGAACCCGCACCTCACGCTTTCCGGGCGAGTGCGCTATCCGTTACGCCACCAGGGCCGCTTTTACCCTCTCAGCTTAACGGCTTTTATGCCGTAGCCTTACAGCACTCACACGTTTAACTTGGTGAGCCGGTCAGCCGTAATCGTTAGATATCGGCATGGAACCGCAAGGACCAACTCCTTTGACGATTATGGCTCTTCCTTTGGACGATTACGCTCTCTACGATTCTGAATTCTCTTTTGCAAGAAAGTCAACATACTCTGCAACAAGGCATCGAGTGGTGATAAAACACCCCCCCCCAATGTGAAAGACGCCGCCACGAATCAAAACTTTTGTTCAGTTATTCGCGGTGCTAATCATTTGATCGACGATTCGCTTCAGCATCCCGCAGCTGCTTCGTTGTAGTGTCGGTCGTGAAAGCAGCTATGTACTCTTCTCACGACGCCGCCAGCTCCTGATGTGAGGTAGTATAAGTCTACTCAAAACCTTGAATAATTGATGAAGCCAGAAGCAAACGGTTTTAGGAAATTGCGAAATGCTAAGACCTCCATGGCGAATATTTTTCAGTGCTAGATCAATGTTAGACTACACGCCCGTCTTAAAAATTGCAAGTTCCTTCTGGTTGAGCGCCAAACGTACAAAGTAAATTTGTGATATCAAACAAAAGCACTGTTTTGGAGGCGTTGTTGATGAGAAAGCTCTGTATGTACTATCCAGCACATGTTTCCTCAAACATTGGTTTAGGTCTTTGACGATGTCCAGTAAGTAGGAGCAATCGGTCTTGTGCAGCTGCGCTTACCCTAACCCTGGACAGCCCCCATCTTTCCATGTTGAGCCTGAGTGTATGGATGGAAAACTTCAGGAAGAAATGTCTGATGGCTACAACTGAGCTTTTCTCTCAAAACCCCTCAAACAGTCGCTTTCTGGTGCGTCCAAATTTTTATTTGTCTACGTTTTGCGGTCAAACGCTTTTTAATCCATGATGAGTGCTATTTGTGGATCAGAACTGGATGTGTACGAATCGGTAAACGGATTTCGGAAGGGAGCCTGAGAAACAATATTAAATTAAGCGCAGAGTGAGTGAGGTGCGGCGAAGCGGAGAAGGAAATGATCTAGTGACGGCCTTGGAAAGAGCTACAATGTCCTAGAACTTTCTGGCTCAGTCCAGAAAATTCAGCCCAGCAACCGAATTGAGTTTCTATTGATCGGTGTTTTTTGCAGTAAATGTTGTTCTGTAATTTCAATAAATTCCAGTGAACTAGATTTCTCAAATCAGTTAAAGGCCGGTCTCGTATTATTGCCAGCCTTTTTTAAAATAAAGTAGCTAAGTAGCACTAGTAGGGATGAGACAGAAAGTAGACACCTTTTGGCTTTTCACCGCGGTTTTTGCAAAACTTCTGGATAGTGTCTATTGAATAAATTAGATATATGAAATAATAAAATGAAGGTGTGTTTATGAAACGTTGTAACGCGAACCTATAACGAGATTGCTGACACTTGTGTACAGTTCCACATTTTTGTACAAAATAAGAAAATAAACATAAGAAATAAACACATAAGATGAACGAACGAGTAAATAAATAGCCCCTCGATCGTATTCGAAATGTAGGTGAAACAAATGCAGTTTCGAGTCAATAGGTTATAATCAGGGTACAGCATCGGCTTGTGTGAAAACATCACAGGGGAGTCGTACTTTTTCTCTGGGGAGGGGGGCCGTTTGGTGGCATTGGAGCATGAGGAGGTCGTGTGTGCGTCGGTGGAGTAGGACTGGGTCGGTGGGGTTCGTATTGTAATTCTTTGACAGAAATTTGGTCTTCGGTTGTTGACTTTCGGTCGTATCGAGACCACGCACTGAAGGTGTGGGGGAGGTGTACACACGCCTGTCCCGAAGCGGGTCCACTACCTCACACATCACGATGCTGTAATGCCTCGGTATAATTGCCGGTTAGTGTTCTATACAGAACTATCCCAAAGTAACAAGAGAGGGATAAGGATTGAAGAGGGTCATGAGCGAGCCGAGGTTAAGTTGGGGCAAGGAATAAAAAGGGTGTGGCCGAGAGATTGCCTACTCAGAGACGTCTGAAAGCAGTTAATCAGATCACGAAAGGCGAAAGGCTAGGCCTTCACAGTGGTGGAGTAGATTTCACGAGTTGTTTATGCTTGATGCACAGCTTGCAACTATTGAGCCTTCTGTCACCCCTAAAATTGATTCGATAATATAGCCCTTGACAAAAAACACGTCCAGTCCTTCTTGGAGGAACTCGCGGAATGTACTGAAGCTGTAACTCACATCTACACGATGTTAACCTCCGAACAAATTCTTAGGATCGCATGAAGGAAAAAAATGGATTCTTATTCAATCCGCTTTTGGAAAGCATGAAGACGTTTTTCATTGGCACGGCATTGATGGGTGCTACGTAACTGCCCAAGGGCTTAACGAACACTGACAACAGGTGAGCTCAGGTCCAGGACCGTTGAGGACTCCCTAACCGGAAAAATGCCTCCGGTTCAGGTTCTTGAGGACGGGCTGTGTTTGTCTCTCGAAAAGTTTTTCATTGTTGACTTTTGCTTTTCGGAAGAGATCAAAAACATCCTCTGTGCCAGTACCTTTGCAGCTTCACTAGTTCTATTCATACGGGATCTATCGCATTTATAATTGTCGATGACACTCGCTTTCTACCCTTTCGCCACCTTTTTCGAAGGCTATTGTATAACCCTTCTAATCCAATAGTCGAATACGGCCGCCGCTGAGATTTT